AGCTGCCACGCGCCGTTGCTGACGTGGCCGCTGCCACCTGTATATGATTGATGACGTGGCGGGCTGTGAGATTGATGAGGCTGTTCTGATTCTTCATCACTTCGGAAGGGGATCAAGACTGTGGTTATCGAGGATACGTACCTGGTTGATGACGATACTCTCCCTTTGCTGATGTAGACAGATTGACGTGCCACGTGGCACCTTGAGGAAGAACTTCAGACATTGTATTCAGTCTATTGATTGATGAGGTGGCGAGGAGGAGGAGGAACCCGAACAAGAAGTGGGCTGTTGTCTTCTTCTCTCTCTTTTGTCTATTCTCCCTCTCTCCTCCTTCGTCTGTGTATGATTCTCATCTCATTCTATCATTACACACATTTGCGATTGTTTGTCATTCATGAGCAGATCGATAATCATATGGACTGGTAATGTGACGAGTATCATCACGCCTGGGCTCATTGCAATTTGGTATCAGAGCAGATCTTCCGATAGTGTGACAGAGACGACAACGACAAGTGGTGGCATCTACATTGAAGAGGCTGACGTGGAGAAGACAACGCACGTCAGATTATTGACGTGGCATTGACGTGGCCTTGGTACACATGTCCGATGCTGATGTGGCATCTACGTGGCATTGACGTGACCTTGGTACACATGTCCGATGCTGACATGGCATTGACGTGGCATTGTAACGCTGACGTGGCCGGTGGATGATAGTAGATTGATGATGTGGCATTGCTGACTCACCATTCGGTGAGATAGCAGGCTGACGTGGCAGTGTCATATTCCGCTACCTGGCTTACGTAGCACGTTGGTACTGCTCCTGACGTGTATTCCCTCGATGATGCTGACTGGACCTTGGTGCTGACCTGGCAGACAGAARTGCTGCTGAGTTGGCACTCCAGGGGATACACGTGGCAGGTTGGAACTTCGACTTTGTGGCAGGCTGGTACTTCGACTTCAGCATACATTGCTGACGTGCACCCATTGATGATAGTGATTAGACCTGCTGACCTGGCATACCCATCGAGTTGCTGAGTTGGCAGGTCAGGGGTGACACGTGGCAAGCACGACCGTGCTTAAGTGAGGACAACATTCTGATGACTGAAGCGGCACTACAAGAAGACTGACGTGCCTGTGGTGCCAAACGTCAGATTGTGTGCTGGTCACACAGGACAAAGAAGGACGAAACAGCAAGAAGGGCAAAACGCTAACTATTGATTGATTTTTGTTGGTGGACTTACCTGTTGTCTGACTGTGTTGTGTACCTGTGTACTCACTTGTGTTTGTTGATGAACATGCTGGTCTGGAGTTACGGTACCTGAGTTAGGATGTCATCACATTGAAAACAGAACAACAAATATAATTAGAAAACTTACGTCTCTTATTATTATTATTCTTTTGACTTATATATATAGTTGGGACATGTGACCGTGAAATTATTGCCTCTTGCGGTATTGTTTCATTTGCGGTAGAACAATCTGGCCAACGAATTTTCGTGTTTCTGTTCCTTCAAGATGTCTTACTTCTGGAAATGTCTGTAATAGTCTATCTCGACGAGATTTGTGACCACTTTCTTGTTCCCTATCCCAATTGCACTTTCCATTGGGGAAGGACCGTCTGAACTTAGGACAAGGGGACAAGTTGGCAGAAAGAAAGATGAACTGTTAGCCTTGTGGTATCAGTTTTTGACTGAGGTACAGTTGTCTGGACCGGATGCCGAGCAACACATCCGTGATAACTTCGATCTTCAGGGGGTTGAATACCGCCTGAAGAAGTCTATCACGGTCGTGGAGGTTGTGGCCGCCGGTACAGAGGCCTCCAAACTGATTACTCAGGGGCGACAGGCTCTAGACCAGTTTGCTTTAAAGCAACTGGAAGAGATTATGGAAGCTACTCGCAAGAAGGGGGAAGTAAAAACAGAAGTAAGTGAAGAATCGATTGATTCCAATATCCAGAAGCTAAGAGAGGCCTTGGCTGCGGAAGAAAGAAAGAAAGAAGAAGTATCTCGAAGAAGAGAACAGGAACAAAGAAGAGGACAAAGAGTTAAAGAGATCAGACAAGTAATAGGAACAGAAGTAAGCGAACAGACTGACATGTCACAAACGTTAGCTCACATTGTGACATATCTTACCTTTCTTGAGGAGAAGATTGATAGACAGCAAAATCAGTTGGATGAAATCACTGTTGGATTGAGAACAATTGCTAATATTGTGAAAGGTAAGAACCAGATTCAAGGAGGAGAAGAACAAGAAGAGAAGAAGGAGAAGAAAGAAGTAAAGAAGTTGATGGGGGAGGCAATGAAGTCTGCTGGTCCTATGATAAAGACAAATGGAAATGGAAATGGATCCAATAGAAATGGATCCAACGGAAATGGATCAAGTCCACCATTTACTCCTCATTCTTCTAAGTCTACTCCTAAAGAAACCCCAGAAAAGATAAGCGTTGAACTCGAAAAACCGAAGAAGAAAGAAAAGGTGAAGATGAAGTTGCCATTTACGTTTTGCAATAAGAAAGAAGAAAGTCTGTTRCTATGGATTGCAGAAATCCAGACGTATGTGAGTACGGCACCGATCGAGCCGGAGTCCCAAGTCGCGTTCACCACTTCTTGCATGGGTGGTGAGGCCAAGCAATGGGTGTTGGCCGAGGCCAATGCGGCGGGTTTCGAAGATATCGGTGAGTGGGCAAAGACACTGACGCTGAAACAGTTCTTGGCGAAAACCAGGGACCGTTTCCTCGACAAGACGACGACCGACAAGGCCTTTGACCAGTTGACGTCAATTGGTCAAAAGCATTGGACGTCAGTTGAGGCTTTGTCCCGAGAAGTTGATCGATTGTTGCAAGTTCCAGGATTGAACCTGCAGGACAGCCAAGTGTTGTACATCTATTCCCGCGCGTTGCCTGAGCCCATCCGGGGACACTTAGTCATTGAAGCGAAATCCGGTAAGTACAACTACAGGCAATTTCGTGACCTTGCCCTGCAAAGGGAACAGATAACTTCTCAAGTCAAGAATTCCTATGCAGCGGTAGTTAAATCTGGAGGAGGATGACAGTACAATGGGAAACGAGTTATCTGGCGACAGAAGCGCCAGGACCACACCCTTGTCGCCTTTGATGACGACACAGTGGAAAAGTGGCCAAACGAGGAGAATAATAACAACAGTGACTCCGGGAAGGGGCAAGTCACTGCTGTTGTGGCCAATTAGGGAGGACCACCCAGGACAGGAGGGAAGAAACAAAGAGCGTTTCCATGGCACCCTGGCATTGCTGATGGGAAGCCATGGGTCGAAATGGGTATGACTAGAAAGACTTGGCAAAAGCGCATGGACAATGCGCAATGTCTCGAGTGCGGCACAGCAGGACATGTGATCGCCTATTGCCCTCAGATCCGGAACCCAAAAGCGATCAACCAGTAGGAGTAGCATCTGCACCTACTGAGATTAAGGGTAAGAACGAACAGACAGGTAAGGCGCCTACGAACCCTTCCTACGCTTCTTCTCAATTGGCAGAGGACGATTCTTCCTTAGCCCATCATCCAGATCGCCCTGATATTGTCTTATGTTCTGTCTCCCTGGATGACTCCCTTGATGAGCTAGGTAACGAATTGCTAGCATTACGTAGCTCATGGGCTCGAAAGGCGAAGACTGAGGGCGAGTGGTTGTTTGCAGATGTTGAGATCGCACGAACATGAGTTGGTGCGATGTTAGACCCAGGATCAACGAGATCCTACATCTCCGAGAAGACAATCCGTAAGTTGCATCTCGGCATGAAGGTAAAAGAGTTGTCTCGACCTATAACGTCTATGTTAGCAGACAGGAGTACGATCACTGTCTCTCAGTTTGTTGATCGTATTAAGTGTCAGTTCCGAACGAAGGAAGGAAAGAAGATTGTGCATGAACTATCCTTCCTCACAGAAAATAATTTACCTTTTGATATCATGCTGGTATGGATTGGTACGAAGAAGCCAACCCGGACATTGATTTCAAAAACAAGATTGTGCAACTCAAAGATGCGTAATCAGAAATGAAACCAATTAAATTATATCACAAGTCTGGCTCTGACTCAAGTCTATCCTTTTGCTGTATGAGTTATCCAGCTTTCCGTTCGATGGTTTCTAAGAAAAAGTTGGAATAGGAAGTCATGTTGGTATTGGTAAAGAAAGCCGGTGAGTCTTCTTCTTCCTGTCCTCCTACGATTGAAAGTCTTCTCTCTGAATATAAGGATCTGTAGAAAGAACCCACCGGAATTACTGAACGCACTATAAAGCATACTATTGAGATTATTCCGGGTACTAAAATTCCCAAGGGCCCTATCTATCGAATGTCTTTCAGGGAACTTGAGGAGTTAAAGAAGCAACTGCAGGACCTTACTGACAAGGGATGGATTCGCCCTAGTTCATCTCCTTATGGAGCACCTGTCTTGTTTGTGCCCAAAAAGGAAGGTGAATTGCGTCTATGTATTGACTATCGAGGGTTGAATGCCGTCACTGTCAAGAATGTCGAACCACTCCCTCGCATCGACGACTTACTTGACCAACTACAGGGATGCAAGTACTTCAGTAAAATTGATCTGAAGTCTGGTACCATCAGATCGAGGTGGAACCCGCAGATCAACACAAGACTGCCTTCCGGACCAGGTATGGCCATTATGAGTTTATGGTAATGCCGTTCGGATTGACTAATGCTCCTGCTACATTCCAACGGTCAATGAACGAGTTATTTCGTCAATGGTTGGATCAGTTCGTCATCGTCTATCTGGATGACATTCTCGTATATAGTAAAACATTAGAAGAACACGAGAAGCATCTTYGTCTAGTTTTGAGTAAGTTGCGAGAAGGCAACTTCAAAATCAACCCGAAGAAGTCTGAGTTCGCTAAGTCTGAAGTTTTATACTTAGGACATATAGTGAACCAAGATGGCCTCAGACCTGAAGAAAAAAAAATATCAGCAATTAGAGACTGGCCACAACCTAAGTCTGTAACTGAGCTACGATCTTTTCTTGGCTTGGCAAGCTACTATAGGAAGTTTGTTAGAAACTTCTCATTGATCGCTGTACCAATGAAAAGATTGTTAAAGAAAGGAACGATCTGGTTGTGGGACAAGGATTGTGAGTCCTCGTTCAAAAAGGTAAAGTACGCTCTGACTCACTACCCTGTTCTGAAAATTGCTAATCCATCTCTTCCCTTTATTGTCACCACTGATGCAAGTCAGTATGGGATTGGCGCAGTTCTTCAGCAGAATGACGGCAATGGTTTCAGACCAATTGAGTTTATGTCTGCACGATTGCCATCTAAAAAGGTTGCCAATTCTACTTATGAAAGAGAATTGTATGCGTTAGTCTGTGCCTTAGACACCWGGAAACACTATCTATTAGGGAGATACTTCACTGTGTACTCAGACCACTCTATCCTGAAGTGGATAAAGACACAGCCTAGGCTCTTTGATAAACTAGTACGATGGTCTGCATTCATTGATACTTTTGATTTTGACTTGAACACTATCAAAGGTAAGTCTAACGTGGTTGCAGATGCATTGTCTAGAAGATGTGATTTCTTTGGTGCCATTGTCTCTTACCTAGACGTTGGGAATGATCTAAAAGATAGAATTCGCCAAGGCTATGTTAATGATCCTATATGGAAACCTATCATGGATGTCCTTGCGAAAGACCGGAGTCTACTTCCCAACTATAAGATAACCGATGGTTTGCTTTTCTTGTTAGACCAAACTGAACAACGATTGTGTATTCCTCATCAAGAAGAAATCAAAAGTCTGATTATTGGGGAATGTCACGA